ATCACACTATTTTCAAATCTGTATCAGTCTGTATCAGATCCGTTGCAGCCCTGTTATTAGAGATTTGGGTATGGAGGAAAAGAGAGAGGGTTGTGTTTTCTGACACTTGGTGAGTTCCCTGACACACCGGGGACACATATTCTTATATAAAAGACGTACAAAAGTGCATTTTGCATGATAGGTCCCCTTTAAATGTATATATCGCAAGTGTCATAGTTTGTAGCACAGGAATTGAATTTGGTCTTTAACCCTTTAAGTTTTCTTTTATAATTTAAAAAAGACGAGAGAGAGAAACAAAACAACAATCTGGTCCATTTGACTGGAAAGACAAATTGCATGTAGGGGAAGGAACTAATCCCTTTCGACATTTTCAAATACAATACCTCCATACAGGTTTACCATCAGTTTCAGCAGAAGGGAAACCATTCTCTTTTGTAATTCCAAATCACATCTTGCCACAATTACAGAAATCCAGGAATATGTTCAAGACTCTGGATCCTTTACAACAAGAGAAAAAGTGTTTTATTTGAATGTAAATCACCTTTTAATTAGATGTCTGGAGTCAAAACCCCCATCTGATTTCTGTATTCTTGTCCCTGATATGATGTTGTTCCTGGGCAAATCCAATTATAAACCTCATTAATTTGATGTCAATTCATTTTTATTCCTACTCCTTTTAAATGACTATGGTTTAAATCCTTTGAGAGAAGCTGTAAAGGAAACATAAAGAGATATGTTTACTCTGGTACAAGACTTTAGGGTCAGCTGGATACTTCTTGCTGACAATCTTAGATCAAAAAATATTATTTTTAAATATATTAAAAGTCTTTGGGGAGCAAGACGGCAGCCTTAGTGTTTACTCTTACAGCCGAAATCCGTCTAGCAGACGCCCTTCGCATAATCATTGAAACAAATTGGTTGAAATAAATTAAGATTTGTAATGCAGTTTTCAGAGGACACAGACAACATATTTCACATATTCAGCAACTTCAAATAAATGATATTAACCATGAATATACAAATCCAAGATCAGCAATAAATTACATCTGTATTTTGTTGGTTTTGAATGGCTGAAGCGCAGTGGAGTCTTCAGTCTGCGATGGAAGACGTATAATCTGCTGTCCTGATATCATTGGGGAGCTTTTCCCCCCATTTAGGAGCAATGAGAGCTAACAGGTGTGCTTCTGTTGACAACATGATAATATAATACCATTGTCTTGAAGCAACATTGGGCAGCCACTGGTAACTATAGTGAACGGAGCAAACGAGAGGTGTTGACATCTTATACAGTACGTTCACAGTATCATTTTTTGTCATTTGGTTTGTTTTATAATCTATAACACGCTTGTGCGTCCTGGAAGAGGATTCCTTTCCTTTACCTCTCCCCGAGGCTTCTAACATTGTTCCCCATTAATTGTGGGATTTCTTTGGGAGTTTTTTCTTGTACGATAAAAGGGGTATAAGGAAAGAGGGTGGTGTATGCTGTACACGCCGTGAAGCCCCCTGAGACAAATGTGTTATATCTAATATTGGGCAGTATAAATTCAATTTGATTGATTTATTGATAGTGTGTGATAACTTGGGGAGGCTGTTGGTCTCGGATAAGCACATTTCAAGGATTAAATCAGGACAAATTGAAGCACTTATAGCCTAAAGTAGTTGTTTTAATCTCACATTTGTCTGACTGGCTCTTTTCGAAAGGGTGGTCTAGGATGGTGTTTTTGTTGGATATGTTTTTGTGGTCCTTCTGTTTGGGGCAGAGCCAATCCCCTCCAGGCTCTGCATGCTAATGTTTCTCCATAAGCATGTGCATCCTCACATCTGCATTAGGATCTCACCGGAGAACACTGCTGCACTCTCAGGAGAGTGTGAGGTTAACTATAAAGGGACCACGCTGATTTAATGCACTGTGGCTCTCAGATAACCTCTGCAGTGTTGAACTCAAAGAAAGAAGCGTGGGAGGGTGATCTGCTAACGGCAGTACATATTCTTTGCTTTAAAGCTGGTGATCACAACTAAAGATGTACTATATAACTGAAAAATAAAGATAAAACTCACGGAAAGACAACACAAATTTTGGGTAAAAACATTTGATGTTCCTGTTTTCCAACCTGTTACCATCTGGGACAACCTGGTAGTCTGCTACTTTTTAGACGAACACAAGTTTTATGTTTTTGTTTTTGTTTTGAGTCAATTTCACAAACACACACAAAAACGGTGCTTTGCTCTTCATTGGCTATATTTCAAAAACACTTGGAGGACGCAGGTGGCAAGCTGGCAGGAAGCAGCTGTTACACATCCACTGCTTCCACTGCTAATTTTTCAAGCCATTTTAAGATGACACAGACATAGCAACATTATACAAAGCTATCAATGTCAATCTATTGACATTGTAGAAAAGCCTACAAAATAAATAACTTTAACAAGCACAAGGGGCAAAGCTTGAAAATATGGAGTGCCATTTTAAAAGATGTCAATAATGGTCATTAGCTGTTAGCCAGCATTTAAACAGTTTCTGAAAATCAGGAGGAAATCAAATTCAAGTGGTTTCACTGCTGGAGATGAATACCCTTCTGATTACTATGAGGCCTGGACTTCCACTTATGCCAGTGTTCAATAGTGTAACCTAATTACATCACCTATTCAGCTCAAAAAGATATTAAATTAACTTTGCGTTATGTCATCAGGAAGTTCTTACAATTGATGATGTGATTAATCAATGCAGGCATAATGTCACCTCAAACTTTCAATTCGAAAGGCCTTAATACGCGATGCTGATTTAATATAACTCCTTATAATCTCTGTAGTAATCATATACTACGTTAATATGACAGCTGTTCATCCGAGTGTATCTTTAGCAGCCATTTATCTCTCTCGCCGCCTCTTATGACTCCTCACTTCTCAGACGCTGACGAGAAAGAGAGCCATTCAGAAGCATTAGTCATAACTCTGTGTTATTCTGTGAATGTGTCACGCAGGACTTCAGACTGTGAATGAGACCATATGTTGAGCAGAAGGATGGAATAATTGGGTCAGAAGAAATTAGGTTGAATGTGAGAAATGTGTCAGGCCATTCAACCAGGAGCCACGTGGTCAAAGCTCTCATCGCGCGGAGCTTAAAGACGCGTCGCGCTGTCAACAATAACTGCAATGCCAACATTTTTTTTAATGACTTTTTTAAAACCACTGGCCGCCAAGTCTATAAAGGGATGGATCCGAGTGAAATATAGTTGGTCTAATGTATCAGGAAAAGTTTATTTTCAATTGAGAGAAAGCAGCAACATTTCTTTCTCCAAGCACTTTCTCTGATCAACCCGCTGCCCTACCCTTGTGCAAATATTGTAGAAAGGGAGAATCTATCGAATTGGAAATATAAATCTGGGTTTTTGCAGTCATTCAGTACTTTTTCTATACTCTGTTCTAAATAGTATTTGTGAGGTTCAAGAGGTGAAACAGTTGCAAGTCCAGTAGCATCAAATCCATTCAGTGCTTACAGTGAAACCTCACCTAAAACACCTTTTATCCCTTACAGTGGAGCTTCTGCTTATTTTCAATTATTTCTTCTTCAGTGCTTCTACTCCAAGTACAGAAAATACTCTAGGTGCTTCCACTTCATCTTTTAATGCTTATAAACCCTTTTTAAAATCTCCTTGTTATACTTCTATTTAAAACATCAGACGATTTGAATTGTTTGAAATGCATTTTTCAAACAAATGATAACTTCTTCGAGAAAATGTACATTTCATATAATAAATTAGCTTTTTAGTGAAAAGAAATTGAAGGGGCCCTATTTGTTTTTGGGGTTTTCCCTTTCCTCTAATGTGTTATATACTATAGGTTATGGTCCATCTAAAATCCCATAGTTCCTCCAGAGGGAGTTTCTCTACGGTTTTTTGATACACTGGAGTGCTCTTCACTTGACTGTTGAGATTGTTGTTGCCATGATACCATGAAGTCGCTGAAGTTAATTCAAAGTGATGGTTAGTTAATGAAGGTTCATTGTATTTGATCGAGTAACATCAGCATCATCGGCTCACTTGTGACAGATTCTTGTTTTGATTTATACACAAAGACAGTAGACTCTTTGTTCTCCTCAGACAAGCGGGAAAAAGAAACCCACTGGTGAAAACTTTTAAATGACTCAAACCACAGTCTACTTGTCATAGTTAATTAAATTAAAAGTGTTTATGTTACCGGTTATGCCTGCAGGCAGCCGCGGAGATTTGATGATAAACTACAGAGAGGAGACTTTACTTGGCTTAGGGTCTCTCAGCAGCAGTGGCTGTATGAGCAGGAAGTGGAGATAAATGAAAGCAGAGTTTGGGAGGTAAAGTGGTCGTTTGGTAGATTATCGATGGACAGCAAGGTGTGAAACTCCCCTGCCTTTTGTCTGTAATTCCAAGATTGATTCAGCTTCCCAGTTACTGGGAGCCTCGTCATTTTAACTAAGAATAACACTTGAATCAACAATAGGAGGGCTGGGTGCCTGCCTGACAGCCATTCATTCCCAATGTAATTAGTGTGTAAGCGGAGCCAGGAGAGAGTGGCGCCAGATGCGCTGAATAATACAGGGGGGGGTGGAGAGCGCTGATGGATAATTCAACATGGATCTCCAGAAGACAGTACCTGAGTGTACTGCTAAGGAATTCCTGTGAATGTGCTCAAGTAGAGAAAGTCTGACAGATTTTCATAATAACAAATATTCATTTGTCTCTCACTCTTTTAGAGAAAATCCTTTATCTCCCATGATTAATGTGCAATGCTGAGCGTAGAAAGCGGGAGATAGAATTATTATTCATAGTATTCATATGAAAGTTTTCTGATAAGCGCCATGTTGTTCTTTCCCCTGCAGATAATTTTCCGCAAAATCAGTGACGTTAAGAAGGAGGAAGAGGAGAGGCAGCGGGCGAAGAACGAGGTGCAGCTCACCATCCCGCAGGACCACCCAGTCCGGAAGCTGTTCCAGAAGTTCAAGCAGCAGAAGGAGCTGCGCAGCCAGGGGGCGACGGCCACCTCACAGCTGGACGTGGAGAAGAACCAGCTGCAGGTGGAGCAGCACCAGCAGCACCTGCACCCCCACAGCCTGCAGCTGGGCCACTCCAGCCTGCAGCACTCCCTGCCGCTCAGCCTGCAGCGCCCCCCCTCCTCCCTGCAGAACGGCGCTCTGCTCAGCAGCAGCGTGCTGACGGTGTCTCAGGTCACGCCCATGCACAGCTCGCTGGTGTACGGCGATCCCCCCATAAAGCAGAACAACTGTGACATCATGGAGCTGAAGCCCAGTGCCGGGGGGGCTGCAGGGGAGCAGACTGTCAGGGTGAAAGTCAGCACCAGCCCCGCGCTGACCAAACCCGTGGTGAAAGCCAGCGCGTGGATGCGTCTGAGAAGCAACGCAGCGCCAGTGGAGCCCAGGAAGGAGGGGCTTAACAACAAGGCTGTTTCCGTGGAGATGCTCTCTCAGGAGGGCAAAGGTCAGGAGGCAGAAGGCGGCGGGGGTGTAGAGGAGGGCGGGGTGTCCAGCAACAATCCGCTCCGAAAGACAGACTCATGCGACAGCGGTATTACGAAAAGTGAGCTGCGGATAGACAGGGCGGGGGAGGCACGGACCCCCGCTGCCATCTCCCCCCTCCTCCACAGCCCTCTGCCCGGGGGGGCGGGTTCCCCTCACCCTTTCTGCCCCATCCCGGAGCAGGCCCTGCAGGCGGCGCTGCACGAGACGCGGCTGGAGCTCCGGGGGGACATCCAGATTCTGGGGGGCCGGCTGGGCGCTCTGGAGGGTCAGGTGGCCGAGATCATCAAACTGCTGTCGGACAAGAAGAGACCGACCCCCGAGAGGCCGTCGGCACACAACACACCCAAAACCAAAATACAACGTCAGGACATTTTCACCGTTTCTAGGCCTGTTTCTCCGGACTCAGAGAAGGACGAGGGGCTCTGAAGGGGGCTCACCCAGTGGTGTACCGGAGCCAACACTGATCACATGGCACATTGTTCTACTATGATCACGTTTATCCATTTTTGGGCATCAGTTACGCCACTGGTCGTAATCCTCCGAGGTTAAAGTTTCTAACATTTGCACACTAACTTTTATCTCCGGGTCGAATGAGAGTCCTCTCTCCGTACTGACCTGGGTCCCGTTTTTGTGATTGTACATACCTCTTAATGCATGTCCAGCTGGATTCTGGCCTGCAAAAAGAAACAACTACTGATCGTACTTACTATACGCCTGTATATTATGCAGTTGACTGCATGCAAATCTAATTTAAAGAGACATTTTATTGAGCTGCACTGTACATACGAATATTTTTCATTGGTAATTTACTATGTGGACATTCAGGGTTGCTTACAGGTAGAACTATAGACATTGAGTAACAAAGGGGTTTACTGGCAGAGGGATTGTGCATGGATTATTTATAAATAGAGGAATCGAAATGGGATTGTTTTTTTTTCTTTGCCTGTGAGATGATTCTGCTTTCGCCTAACCCTCCTAAGAACACACATGTGATGATGAGCAACACTTAAGTGGAATTTTCTGGTATGTTTTATATTATCAAATTTGCTTCTTATAATAATAATAATAATAGCAACTGATTTTCTATTTTTGATTACAAAAATGTGGTTGGCCTCAGTTTGATGTCGGGTGAACCCTTAAATGGATATTTTGTTAGGATCCTCCTCGTGTCTATGCATCGCTCGAGTACGCTGAGAGAATATTATATCTTAAGTTATCATGTGTGTGAATGAAGGACTTTCCTCCTCTTTTATTGGTCCATTCCTCTGCATGATTCAGGGATGGCAGAATGCACTTTGGGTAAGGTTTGGTCGACGATGAAGGCTTAGGGAAAATAAACCAGAGTTTAGTTCACATTAAAGATCACTCACAGCACAGAGACATGTAATCCCTCAGCCCCTGCACCACACACGGCAGTCTTAACCAGCGAGCGTCGCTCTGCAGCCCCGCTCTGAAGCCCCGCTCTGAAGCCCCGCTCTGAAGCCCCGCTCTGAATTCCATTAGCAGCTTCGCCGCAAAGAGCTCGAGTAATAAGAAATGGAATACTGTACTTTTTATGGTATCAGTTTTCTAAATCTGCATGCAAAAGGAGAAGTTTTATGCTGCAGAGTGCATAATTATACATATACAGCCACACACACACACATATATATACACACACTCTTCATGCACACAGTGTGGTGGCATCTCTTGATGTGAACCCCAAAGGCCTTTCTTCACAGAAAGGGAGATCAGTCGGTTTTTCTCAGAAGGTTTTTCAGGTCTTGTGAGATTTAGACGCTGTCCTCCCTCACACTACATTATATCAGCACTCATCATTTGACACACACACACACACACACACACACACACACACACACACACACACACACACACGCACACACAAAATCATATTTAATAAGAATAAGGAAGAACACGGATGCATGGTGGCCATCATGTAAGGTTCAAATTGTTTATAATGAGCGGGTTCATGTCATTCCTGCTTCATTATCTACAGTGTGAGTGAATGGACAGGAGGGAGAAAACAGTGAATTAGAGGTTTTAGTCAATGCCCAACGGACCTTGTTGTGGCTAATTCCTGTTTGTCATTGGCTCTAGGATAAACTAATAGATGAATTTGGATGTCTGTCTGTATTAGACAGTCAACAGTAGAAAAAACTGAAAACGATGAGAGGAAGACGGTGAATAACAAGCAAAAAAACTTTCCCTTATCAAACTTCTACTGAGTATATAGTTGTTCTCGGTTGGCACGTTAAACCTCCAGGTCACAGGGTCCGCTAGCAAGTGATATATTTTTTTAAAAGATAACAAATCTAAGGAAGAAATATATTTTTGCATACCTTTCAGTCTAGTGCCATACTCGGAGTACTCAACATGCCCCAATTCAACAAGCACAGGATGATAGGAAAAGAGATTGGTAGATATGATATACCAGTATAATACTGAGGTGGTCAGGACTTCAGATGTTAAAGATACAATGACGGGTATATCAGAATGTATTTGCCCTCTTTAAATTGTTTCACAGCATCAGTGATGTCCTGCATGAAAGGTTGCATGCCAGGATGTTGACATTGCTGATCCAGGAAGTCTATAGGCCGACGTATGCTTGGAAATATTTGCTTTACGCTAAATATATGTTCCCGTAGATGACACGTCTATGTGGAAAATATTTACTATTCTAAAATTGCCTCACTTCAAGATGGGACAAAAAGCTAATATAAGATAAGCAGTTTAATGGCTTCTGTTTTCTGTACCATCCTGCTTCACACACGCAGAGTTTCCCCTGCTCTCTCTGCTGTTGGCCACTGAGCGGATCCCCTGCAAGAATCAGGGGTAAGTGCCTTGCTCAGAGACACGTCAGCAGCAGTTTCAGACAATCTGGCCCCCCACTATAAATGCAGAAATGTATTAGAGTCTTTCAATGATGGCTATTACTGTACCTGTGTTGAGCATCACATACCAGTTGGTTTCATATCCTTTTATCTCACGTAGATGTCACTTATATTGAATATCATGCAATGCTATGCAACAGTTTATTCTATTACAGGCTGAATATGGACCTTTATTGTCCGATAGTATATAATATCAACAGGCAAGCCAGTATTACGTTTATTATTATAGATATATCTGTATGCGGGATGGAGGATGTGTTACCGTGTGTAGATGAGATATCTTTCTTTATATCCAACAATCAAACATGACACACCAAAAGATTGGTAGAATATAATGTTTTTTAATTTTTTTTATGAAAGGCAGTTAGTTGGACACCTCCCTCCTACACTCAAGTTTTTGACAGGACAGCTCCAAAACAAACCCCCAAACTCTGTTTAACTTCACTTGTATTTTAAATGATCGCCATCATGCTAAATTGCTAACAACCAGCTCAAATAAATGGACATCCTTACTGTTAATTACGTAAAGCTAAGTCTGTACGATCTGATATGGTTCTCTGTCTGCTGGTCATTTCTCTGTAAAAGCCTTGAAGAGATAACTTGATTTGACATCAGTCAGTGTAGAAAGACCACATATCAAATATAAAAGTTAGTTTATTTGGTTTTCTGAGAAGCAGTTGAAGGTTTTTCACGATGATTGCAAAGAGTACAAGCAGGTCTGTATTCATAGAGTTTCTGAGAAGACTGAGGTTGTCATGACCTGACATTCTGGTGCAAACTGCAGGCTCCTAATTCCACTGAAAAGACACACATAGTGATGAAGGAATTACATAGAAATGACTGGACAATCTTTTGAAGAAAGAACAAAAACTGAGTTGGCTTTCAGATATTTTACTTTTTGATCAGACAGCTTACAAAATCAAATATAATTCAAAGTATACTACTAACTTGTACATAATGTCCTGAAACATATGTTCTTAAACCATCTAAACATGTGCAGTGAAACCGATTTTCTTTTTATGCCACTGAAATTCAAATGAGTTAAAGTCTATACTTACTTCAAGTGTTAATACTGTGACAGATGGAGCACATGAGAAGTTCAGAGCCCCAGGGGGAAATACAGTATTGGATAAATAGCTTATTTTAGAATTGCAATACACTGATTCTATTTTAGGAGATGCTCCCTCAGCGGTTAAAGTGCATGATTGGATGGATCTGCAGGACAGGGACTCGTAGGCAGTGTGAGAGTTTCCCTGTCAGCGAACTCGCCTGAAACTTTATGGTTCTGTGAGGAGACACCAGCAGCAGAAAGCTCATCTCCTTCTTTATTAATTTGACGAGAGAATGAAGGCCTGTAATCTGAGCCCCACACACACACACACACACACACACACACACACACACACACACAAACACACTTCAGCGCAGGATCTTTCGGCTTTGCCACTTGAATGTACACCCCACTGTCCCCTCTCTGCTCTCCCAGACTTTTCACTGGGAGCAAAGATGATTATTTTGATGTCTCCCTTTGTTTCTTGAAATAAGTATCTTTTTTTGACTTTTCTCTGACACTATCCTTCTTGACACTGGAAGGAGGTCCTCCTGACAAAAACCTCCTCTATCTTTTAGTTTCTTCCGCTCTCTTTCTCTCTGTCCCTTTCCCTCTCTTTTATCACCCTCTCCTCAGCATGCTGATGGTGTCATGCCTACTGACTGCCACCACAGATCCAGCTCTTTGAGGATTGGCGAGCTCGACTGAGGGGCCTCATTTATTAAAACCATCCTTTGGCTTTATCCAATTCCACATATTGCATTGAATATGACACTAAAAGTATTTCAAGTCATTCGGAAGAGAATTAGGCCCACATGTTAATAGCTTCTTTTTTTTTATCTGACTAAAATTGAAGTCAGTATTCTGAGAACAAGTCAATATAAAAAAGATATTTGAATTAATTTTTTTCTGAAATCTCAGAATTCCGAGAAAAATATTAGTTCTCAGATTTTTCAGAAAATAATTTGATTCTTTATTTTTTGTCAGGATTCTGAGTTTAATCTCAGAACAAAAAAAAGGACACACTTGCTCAGGTCTAAAAAGAAAATCTTGGTTGGCCCAAATCCTCTTCCTCAGTCATTTCCCGGATAGTGATATACAGTATATTTTATTTTTTGATATTTTGGAACATAGATGGATCCTTTCACAATCTTTTAATTCAGATTCACTCCTAAATCTTTGGATGATTTTAACAGACGGGGCCCTCTGGGTAAAGCTTCTCTTTTTTTTTTCTACTGGAATGTTTTCTATTTCTACTGTTTTGTTAAAGCGGCGGTCGGGAGCAGCACTGAAATCCCACTCTGACTTATGAATTGTTTTACAGTTGCACACATAAACTGTAGTGTCCGAATAATAAACAGCCGTCTGGGAAACTCTCCATTCTTCCTGTCTGCCTTTGTCTGCCTCGCTCTGTTTTTAGAAGCATCTTCCTCTTCACTGTGAAAGGGGCATTACATAATCAATGACCTTCATTGATCTGTATT